TGGAGCTCCTTCAAACTCCATTCCTCCCTCTGAGACTGTTCTCCCTTGTCTTTTCTTAAACATTTTTAACATGTGTATAGTTTCCTTTGTCACCCCTGAACCCTTGCAGTGAGTGACACAGCCTAAATTATCTTATCCTGCTACCCCTGATCTCGTGCAGCGAGCAGCTTTACCTTGCCCTATAGGCTCTTGTTACCCCTGATTTCTCTGTGAACACTTTGGATAAGATTAATTGTAGCTTAAAGTTTCTATGAGCTCTTTTATGAAGCCTCTACCCTCCGGAGGTCAGTAAGCTTTGGTTAACCAAAAATAGAACCGCTCTCTATAGAGCCTGCTGTGTGCACACCAATGTTTACAATAACTGAGGCGTTTTACCAATATTCCCCCTTTCGCAATTCTCCACCAAAATGTTATACCAATAGAATAAAAACCAGCAGGATCTTATTAAGAGGGATAAGACAAAGATGCCACATTTATTGTAAATATAATGATAAAGCAAAAGAGAAAAGTAAACAACGTTGTTTGACTACTTATTCCTATCACTACTTATTCCTTATACACACACACACATATATATAGATAGATATATAGATAGATAGGTAGATTTATTCACACAATCATTCATTCAAGTTCTGTATAGGTGTTATAGTTACCAGCCTAGAAGTTGCTCATGCCAAGTTACTGGCCAGGTAGCTTGGTCATGAGGATGGAGCCGAGTCTGTGTCAGATGCACCTGATGCTCCTGGCAGCAGAACCAGAGAGACTCAAAGTTCTCAGTCTTGAGAGTCCATTCTTATAGGATTTAATTCCTATGTTAGTCTATGGGAGCTGTTTCATCCTGCTGTTGCTGACTTAATCAGCAGATGGCACACATTCCTGTTCAAAGTGGCACATTCCTGGTGGCTCCACACTGTCCAAAGTTTGTGTTTCTCATCCTTCCAGGTGATGAGGTGGATCCCAGTTTACCCTCCGGGGCTTTTCTGGTCATCCACTTGACACATTCTTCGGCCGATGGATACTTCCTTTCTAGGCTGGCACCTCCCTAACCATCCATGTATATCAAGCATTCATCAGCATACATTCCATACCTTAACCATATTTTAATTTACTGTCTCCACCACTTTCAGAGTGTGTGCTAATTCATTTGAGACTCCCGGCCCTTTAATCACAGAGGGTGGGGGGTCTGTCCTAGGAGCTGTTGAATGAAGTGAAAGTCACTTAACAGCTTACAGTGTTTGTTTACATTGTATCAATTACTTCGAGAACAAAGTCAGTTAACTTGTTTGTAAGTTTTACATAGTAGTAAAGTATCTTTCACAGGATAGATATAATCAATGGTTTTTACAGACAGTAGCTTACAAGTTTTAACAGAAGACCCAAGAGATTTTTGTACTTGGTGAAACTGTTGGATTTTAAAGTGTGGGGGACAAATTATGAGGGGGTCACTGTCACTTGGGGGAATCACTGTTAGTACCTTCTTTAATATCCCTACACCTGCACTCTGACTAACTGGAAGATCAGGCATCTCCTCACCACTCACTTCCTCATTGGGGCTGGAAGGCTCACCGTGAACATTTCATAGAATCAGAGAATATCAGGGTTGGAAGGGACCTCAGGAGGTCATCTAGTCCAACCCCCTGCTCAAAGCAGGACCAATTCCCAACTAAATCATCCCAGCCAGGGCTTTGTCAAGCCTGACCTTAAAAACCTCTAAGGAAGGAGATTCCACCACCTCCCTAGGTAACCCATTCCAGTGCTTCACCACCCTCCTAGTGATAAAGTTTTTCCTAATATCCAACTTAAACCTCCCCCACTGCAACTTGAGACCATTACTCCTTGTTCTGTAATCTGGTACCACTGAGAACAGTCTAGATCCATCCTCTGTGGAACCCCCTTTCAGATAGTTGAAAGCAGCTATCAAATCCCACCTCATTCTTCTCTTCTGCAGACTAAACAATCCCAGTTCCCTCAGCCTCTCCTCATAAGTCATGTGCTCCAGACCCCTAATCATTTTTGTTGCCCTCCGCTGGACTCCTTCCAATTTTTCCACATCCTTCTTGTAGTGTGGGGCCCAAAACTGGACACAGTACTCCAGATGAGGCCTCACCAATGTCGAATAGAGGGGAACGATCACGTCCCTCGATCTGCTGGCAATGCCCCTACTTATACAGCCCAAAATGCTGTTAGCCTTCTTGGCCACAAGGGCACACTGTTGACTCATATCCAGCTTCTCATCCACTGTAACTCCTAGGTCCTTTTCTGCAGCACTGCTGCCTAGCCACTCGGTCCCTAGTCTGTAACAGTGAATGGGATTCTTCCATCCTAAGTGCAGAACTCTGCACTTGTCCTTGTTGAACCTCATCAGGTTTCTTTTGGCCCAATCCTCTAATTTGTCTAGGTCCCTCTGTATCCTATCCCTACCCTCCAGCGTATCTACTACTCCTCCCAGTTTAGTGTCATCGGCAAACTTGCTGAGAGTGCAGTCCACGCCATCCTCCAGATCAATAATTATTTGTGTCTATGTATCTCAGGGGAGCACCTTCCTGCTTAGATAGAAAAGCTTCCTTTGCTTTCTTTCTTTTTCTGAAAGCTGCACCAGAGGGGCGTTTTCTTTTTTCACTCAGAACTGTTGTTCTGTGCCAGCTATAGTGGCTTTCAACACTCAATTGAAGGGGACAAATAAGCAGGCTGGTAGCAGGGCCTGAGTGAGGGAAGATCAGCGTCTTAAGGGCCTAACTGGCTCCTACTACTTTAGTTGACTGCCTGTTCTCCTCAAGTGGCTTCAGGTAAGCAGCAGGAAACAGGAAGCTCCCTGAGAAGCTGGTGATAATCAGTCCAGGCTCCTGAGGCTGCTAGAGAGGTTCATAAGATGCTCCCCCTCCTCCTCTCTCTCCCTGGAGCTGCTTTCTGTTATTCCCTCTCAGCTTTTCTCCTGTCTGCCTGTTATGTCTCTTGTGCCCTCCTTCCTCCAGCACAGCACTCCATCATCTCTGTGCATCTAGAGCAGAGAGAATACATATGCACCAGCAGCAGACACAATTTTCTACACTCTGGGTCCTAGTGGCGTCCTCCCGCCCCCCAGTCTGGCACCTGAGGCGGCCGCCTCAGTTCGCCTCATGGTAAGGCCAGCCCTGATGGGGGAGGCAACCTAGTGACAGATGATGTGGAAAAAGCTGAAGTACTCAATGCTTTTTTTGCCTTGGTCTTCACAGACAAGGTCAGCTCCCAGACTGCTGCACTGGGCTACACAGTATGGGGAGGAAGTGATCAGCTCTCAGTGATGAAAGAACAGGTTAAGGACTATTTAGAAAAGCTGGACATGCAACAAGTCCATGGGGCCGGATGCGCTGCATCCAAGGGTGCTGAGGGAGTTGGCTGATGTGATTGCAGAGCCATTGGCCATTATCTTTGAAAACTTGTGGCGATCAGGGGAGGTCCCGGACAACAGGAAAAAGGCAAATGTAATGCCCATCTTTAAAAAAGAGAAGAAGGAGAATCTGGGGAACTACAGACTGGTCAGCCTCACCTCAGTCCCTGGAAAAATCATGGAGCAGGTCCTCAAGGAATCTATTTTGAAGCACTCGGAGGAGAGGAAGCTGATCAACATGGATTCACCAAGGGCAAGTCATGCCTGACCAACCGGATTGCCTTCTGTGGATATGGAGAAAGTGGTGGACGTGATATATCTTGACTTTAGAAAAGCTTTTGATACGGTCTCCCACAGTATTCTAGCCAGCAAGTTAAAAAAGTATGGATTGGATGAATGAACTATAAGGTGGATAGAAAGCTGGCTAGATCGTCGGGTTCAACGGGTAGCGATCAATAGCTCCATGGCTAGATGGCAGCCGGTATCAAGCAGAGTGTCCCAGGGGTCGGTCCCGGGGCCAGTTTTGTTCAACATGTTTATTAGTGATCTGGATGATGGGATGAATTGCACCCTCAGCAAGTTTGCAGATGACACTAAGCTGGGGGAAGAGGTAGATATGCTGGAGGGCAGGGATAGTGTCCAGAGTGACCTAGGCAAATTGAAGGATTGGGCTAAAAGAAATCTGAGGAGGTTCAAAAAGGGCAAGTGAAGAATCCTATGCCCTGCTACAGGCTGGGGACCGACTGGCTAATCGGCAGTTCTGCAGAAAAGGACCTGGGGATTACAGTGGATGAGAAGCTGAATATGAGTCAGCAGTGTGCCCTTGTTGCCAAGATGGTCAATGGCATATTGGGCTGCATTAGTAGGAGTATTGCCAGCAGATCAAGGGAAGTGATTATTTCTCTCTACTCGTCACTGAATTAGAGCCAGGACTCTTGGGTCCCCCTCCCCCAAGCTCTTGGAGAGTATGGGGGATAGTGGTTAGAGCAGTGGGGCTGGGAGCCAGGACTCTTGAGTTCTCTCCCCAGGTGTGGGAGGGAGTTTAGGGGCCAGTGGTTAGAGCCAGGGGTGGGGGGCTGGGAACCCAGACTCCTGCATTCTATCCCCAGCTCTGGGAGGGGAGTGAGGGCTAGTAGTTAGAGCAGGGGGGCTGGTGGCCAGGACTCTTGGGTTCTCTCCCCAACCCTCGGAGGGTAGCGGGGACTAGTGGTTAGAGCAGGGGTTGGGCTGGCAGTCAGGACTCCTGGGCTCTATCTCCAGCTCTGGGAGGGGGTTAGTGGTTAGAGAAGGGGGAGCTGTGAGTCAGGACCCCTGGGTTCTTTCCCCGGCTGTATGGGGACAGTGGGGTTTAGTCATTAAACCAGGCGGAGGCTGGGGGCCAGGACTCCTAGGTTCTCAACCCAGCTCACTGAGGGGAGTGGGGTTTGGTGGTTAGAGCAAGGGACTGGGAGTCCTGAAGGGAGGCCTGGTGGGGGGCTGAGGGTGGCAAGACCAGTTGTCCTGGAGGGGCCATGTGTGGGCTCAGCACCCACAGGCGATGCAGGGAAGGAGAAGGGGGTCCCGGAGCCAGGGGGTAGCCCTGTGCTGGCATTGGCTCCCTGATCCTCCCCACAGTGCATGGGGCAGCACAGACCTGAGACTGGGTTGCGGTAGAACCAGAAAACCTTGGGGATGTCAGCTAACTTCTCCCAGGAGTACGGCTGGTCCAGGAACCCCTTAATCTTGCACTCCAGCAGCCTGCGGGGACAGGTAGCCGGGCTCAGAGACTGGGACCCTCACGCTGTGTGCGTCCTCTGCCTCAATCCAGACACACTCCTCTGTCCCCCTTCACACCCCTGTCTCTATCCATCCCCATACACACCCTCTGCCTGTTCCCCTCACACCCCTCTGATCCCATACACACCCCTCCATCTGTCCCCCATTCAAACCCCTCTGACCTCATACACCCCCTCTGCCTGTGCCCCCTCACACCCCTCTGTCTGTCCC